ATTTACATATATACATGTATATATATAAATATATCCAGTGTGTATGCATCTCTCTCTCTCTCTCTCTCTCTCTCTCTCTCTCTCTCTCTCTCTCTCTCTGTATATATATATATATATATATATATATATATATATATATACATATATATATATATATATATATATATACATATATGTATATATATAGACACACACACACATATATATATATATATATATATATATATATATATATATATATATATATATATATATATGTATATATATATATATATATATATATATACATATATATACATATATATATACACACACACATACTTCCATATATACATGTATGCATGTGTGTTTGTGTGTGTGTGTGTGAGTGTGTGTGCGAGTGTATATAAATACTCTCAAACACGTACATTCTCCCAGACTTTGCAAGACGGAAAACAACCTTCGAAGTCCTGTGGGGCATTTTCTTCCCCCGGTTTAAAGTGACGAGTGAAAGTGGCAGTCTGACTGACTATCCTTAACACAGTGAGAAAAAAAAAGTGAACGTGTTGAATATGGAAGAAAAAAATACGTGACCACGGGAGAATCGCATATTGGAATGGGAATGGCGGTCGGCCCGTGTTAGAGCGATGTGGCAGAGGATTTGGGCGTGAGGGCGGCCAGGTGGACGAAGCGGGTGGATGGGGCTACTGCTGGGAGATTTCTGTCAGTGGCACACCTCATATATATATGTGTGTGTGTGTATGTGTGTGTGTGTGTGTGTGTGTGTGTGTGTGTGTGTGTGTGTGAATATAGATATTTAGATATAGATATAAATGTATGTATATATGGACATATACATAAATTAATCTATACACATACATGCATACGTACACACACACACAAACACATATACATACATATACATATACATACATACATACATATATATTTATACACTTAGGTACATGTGTGAGTATTCACACACACACACACACACACATATACACACATACATATATATATGAGGTGTTTCGATGTCTGATCAAAATCTCAGTTCTTTCCGTGTTGTTTGCGCGTTTTGTGTATGCATTGTGTGTGTATTTGAGTGTGTGTTGCACTTGTATGATATATACACATAAATATAAAGACTGGGGTACTGAAAAGGAATTATAGAAAATGTAAAACAGTAACAAAGAGCTAGTCAGCCGTGGAGACACAAAGACGAGCAGCCATGGCATCATAATGACCAGCGTGGAAGATGGACTTGGCACTGTGCCCCGAAGAGGAAGAGAAGTGACCACGGAACGAATGGCTTCCACTGCTTGTCACTGTGCTCAGCTGTATGCATGCACCATCAGCACAAGTGATCAGTGCATTACATGGATTCACTGCGTACAGTTTCGTCCAGCAGTGGACTACGCTTCAATATAGTTATAACCCAAAATAGATCATGCATTGCTATCATATATATATTATCACCGTGATAGGTATTTCTTTCGTGGGTGAAAATCACAGTTAAGTTTCCCAAGGTGGAGAGGGCTCAGCATACTAGTGGCATTCATGTTTCAATCATGTTGATAATTTGCCTGCCGTATTCCTCCTGGTAAGGCTGCGGTTCTTGTAATTAAATGCAGGACTAACCCCAGGTGTTGAGGGAAATTCTAATGACCTCGATATGTACCCCAAAAGTTTGAAAGGATCTTGAAGTACGTGTGTGTGTGTATAAAACGACGTGCTTTCAATTCAATGCAGGTTTCCTCCATTCAGACTGTGGTTCATATGGCCTGCGCTGGATTCCAAAAAGGCTATCCAGTCCCACGGCACATTTTATCATCGTATCGGGAGTTCTTGAAGATATCGTACTTTACCCCCCAAGAAGTATAGGGGGATTGTGCTCTAGAACGCAATCAACTTGAAAAATGAGTTTTTATTTAGTAGTATCTAGATTAATACAGTCATTGGCCGTAATAAATGTACACTAAATGTCTGTTTTTACATCAGGAAAAGCATGTGTAAAGCTGTACTTGTTCAGTGAATACAGATTCGTCAAAGTCTGGCCAGAAGTAAGGCCCTGAAACAATTCCTTTGGGATTGGAGTTCACAGATGATAGACTGATAGACGTGCGATTGTATGTGTGTATATATATATATATATAAAACATAGAATATATATATATATATATATATATATATATATATATATATATATATATATATATATATATATATATATATATATATATATATATATATATATATATATATATATATATGCGTGTGTATGTGTGTGTGTGTGTGTGTGTGTGTGTGTGTGTGTGTGTGTGTGTGTGTGTGTTCTTTTTAAGAACTTGCCAGTCGTTGTGAAGTTTAACCGCCCCCCCACACGAAACATACATACATACACACACATATGTTTAATTTCATTTTTGTAATATATTTTGTAATAAATGATGTTCCTAAAAGACATACAAACTAATGGATAAATATCACTCCTTCTCTCTTTACTGAATCAGTTAAAAACCTTTATTATTTTCAGAAAACAAATGCGTTCAGCAGTAAAAAGAATTTGCTGGTCACTAATGCAATAGATAAATGTGATAATAATTTCACTTTTTCTATATATCTTATGCTAATCAGGTGAAAGGAAAGATTATAAACTTATTCAGTGACCTGCCGAAAGTCTGCTGATTACTTCCATGAGCGAATCATTTAGGTAAACGGACCAAGGAAATTACCAGGAATCGGTGTAGCAACAGTGTGATATAAAAGGAATCCTAATTCTTCGAGAAATTCGAGAAAGAAAGCAAAAATCCAAGAGTTGCATTCGTGCCCTTAAAAAAAAAAATCCCCAGAGGTTTTCGGAGCCAGTCAGTGATGTCATAATCCCGGACATTGAGTCCCTCCCCCCCCAGCAGAACAGTTCACCCGAAGGCCAATTCGTGCCGGAAGCCCTGAAGCCTCGAAGCCCTGAAGCCCTGAAACCTTGAAGCCTGCGGCCGCTGAGCTCTGCACGAACCATGAGAGCTCATCGGCGGGTGGATGCTTAATACTGGCTCTCCCCCTAGCTCTCCCCGGCGCCAGCTGTGGCCCTCTGAAGCCTGTGCAGCTGGAGAGGCCACGGATCTTGCTGTCGCCTGGAACTGCCAGTCGTCCTCTTCCCCAGCGCCGCCTTCGCCCTCGTCAGCAGAGGAGGCCCGCTTTGTCGTCAGGCCTCAGGAGTCGACCCATGGTTTGACGGGCGTGAAGGTCGTGGGCCTGAGAGGACCTTTCAACAGCCGCTCGGGAGTCGCGGGGGACGACGGCGCCCTCGGAGCTCAGTCGTGGAGACCGCCTATGGTTGCCTCTGCGGAGGGGGCAGTAGGCGAGGTGGTGTCGGCTGCGGGTTGGTGGAGCGAGAGACTGATCGTGCCCGCGCTTTACCTGTGCGTGCTCGTGTGCGTCGTTGTGTACACGGAGACGGTGAAGATGGCCATGGTGCCCATCACCATATTCCTGATCGTGCTCTCCCTCCTCCTCTTTTTCTTTATCCTGTTTTGCGTGTGCTTCGTCGTGTTCCTCTGATGCTGGGAGAACGGCGGCGGCGTTTCCCGGCGCCCCGTTCGGTATCCAAAAGAGGGAAACTATGGCTCCAGGTCCGTTCACATAGACCTGCGAGAGTACCCGAGCAGCGGGAGGCCCTTGTAGCGGCCGCTCGCTGTCGCCTCGGGTGCTCGCCAGGCCCCTTACGTGCCAGAGTAATCACCGAATATTTGCTCAGTATTTTCTGTCGCTGGATCACTAATTGGCAACCCTTACGAGCGACGACCTTAGCTGTCTGCTCTTTCCTCTCTGCGAAAGGACATTCCAGTCTTTTTCCCCCAAAACTGTAACTTATAAAACACGGAGCCTTGTTTCCGCAGACTTCTTTCCCTGTCCTTTCCTCTCTTTCTCGACGCCAAAACAATAACGAATAACTTTAAGGCTGTCTTGCAAGGGGACGAGTGTGAATAAGAGCTGCTCTTTGTGGCGCACGTCTCATCCCCTGCAAAAGTATTACTCATCATCATTCATAAATTTCATGGAATCAACAGGCGAGGCTTTTCTGAAAGCGCATTCGTTGGCGTGTCCTGGGAGACTACTTTCGACACGCCACATGCCACATCCCAACATGCCTCGCGAGACAACATGCCCGTCTCTCTTTATGTGGTCCGCGAGATCATAGTATGTGTGTTCATCTCTCTGCATGTTCTGTGTGTTCTGGCTATTGTGTATGCAAGTTAACGGGGGCGTGTTCTTGCCCTATGTGATGTTGCGTGCCCAGCGTGACGCACATGTGATGCTCCTCCTCCGTGCCCTGTAACTTTACCTTCCCCCCTCCCCCCCCCCTTCTTCTTCTCATTCAAAGCCCGTCGTGATCTCAAAAGCATCCCTTTAATTCCTATCCTCCTTACCCTCTTCTTTGTCCTTGCCAATTGTAATGAAAAAAAAAGCGAAAACGGTGCTGAGGTTCCACTCTTGCTGCAATGTAAGGCTTCCCCTCCCTCTCCCCCCTCTCCAGTGTCCCAATCTCTCCCTCCCCTCTCCGGTGTCCCCCTCCCTCTCTCCCCTCTCCAGCCGTCCCTTCCCTCTCTTCTCACTCCGGCGTTCCCTCCCTCCCTCCCTCCCCTCAACGACATCCCCTCTTCCCCTCCCACTCTCCCCCCCTCCGATGTCCCTTCCCTCCCACTCTCCCCCCTCCGACGTCCCTTCCGTCCCTCCCCCTCCCCCTCCTCCTCCCCCGGCGGTGGCTCCTGGGGGTCCGTTTTGTTCGTTTGTTCGCTGACCGCTCCTCGCCTCCGGCCTTCGCGACCTCGTTTGACCCCGTCGAGAGCACATCGATTATCAAGGACCTGGTCAGTGGTGGGTTCGCCTCTGAAGGGTTGGAGAAGATAAGTGTAGGAGGCGCTTGAGATTAGAGAGGCGCTGCTATCACAAGCGAGGGCACTGGTGGGCACTGGTGGCTGTGGGCGCATACTTGGCTTGGTACCCGGGAGGTGCCACGG